TATCTTGGGCTTCTTCAGTTTTTGGCCAGAGGTAGAAGAGTCAGATAGCCAATGGTTGTCAGTTCACTAGGCTCCTTGAAGATAGTTGTTCTTACAGGGCCATCTCAAAAGCAACACAACTGCATGCCAAGGGGAGTCAACTTTAATGGATCTTATATAGGTTTGTAAAATGGTATCTAGATTGAATGTATTGAATCAGTTACTGTGTTTCAGACTGGTTCTTGTATAGTCATGCCCCACTTCTAGTGCTGGATTTGAGTTAGTTATCTCTAGGATCTCATAGGACTTTGCCCCCCTTCGTCTATCACCCTATAAGACTGTTTACATAATTCTTCCTCCTAGAATAGGCACATAGGAGTGCTATCATGTCTGATTTACCTTCTTACCTATGAAATGAAGTAAACCCCAGAAATTAAGTGAGAAACTTTTCATCCATACATTTGTTCCTCCAATTTGGACTAGAATATCTTGCTTATGTAAAGTACATGTTTTGCAAGCCGCATTCACGAATACTCATTCTAGCAGGTCAACATTAACTCAGCTTCCAAAAAGATAGACTTGGTGCAAAGTAAGAGCAAGGATGGGGTCCTAGCAAGAAGAAAGGAACCAAAGGCACCCTGAAAAAATGAATTAGCAGTGAAGACAAAGCAAACATAAAAGCAAGAAAAGTAGAACAGGAGCCGGTTGTGCTGGTGCACGCCAGTAGGATTTACTGAAGGAGGCAGAGGCAGGAGGATCACAAGTTTGAAGCCAGCCTGGGCTACACTTTTGCCAGGTGTTGGTGGCTCATGCCTTTAATCCAAGCACTTGGGAGGCAGAGACAGGCAGATCTCTGTGAGTTCAAGGTCAGCCCGGTCTACAGAGCGAGTTTCAAGACAACCTCCAAAGCAATACAGAGAAACCCTGTCTCGAAAAACAAAACAAAAAGTAGAACAGGAAAATGATGAAAAGGAGTTAGAAAAGAGCTGGGAAAAGAGTGTGGAGAGGCAGCTTTGTGTCAAAGAAATCTCCTGACAGCTGTTACCACAATGAGAACTGACACTAACTAGTAGGCCAGTCTGGTAGAATTAGGCAAATGGCATTGTCTCCATCCAGTGGGGATGAAGGAGGTTAAAGGAATAGAAGAATCAGTCACTTGCCTCCCACCATGGCTGAAAGGGGGGAAAATGTATTTACAAAGCTTTGCCAGGAATTAAAAACAAAGGAGCTGTTTCTCCCTTCTTAACCCCCTAAATCCCCAGGTGTTAAAGAGGGCTTCCTCCACTGCTCTTTTAGGGCTTCTTCCACTGCTCTTTTAGTTCTTTATTCTAAGCAGAGTGAAGAAGAGATTTACTCACCTTCATCTTGCAGGGGGACTGCTGTCACAGTAATATCAACGTAGCAGGAAACCAGCATCTGATGCCTGAAAGTACCTCTAAGACTGGGCATCTTGGGGCTAGTTTTCTTTTTCTTTTCTTTTTTTTTTTTTTTGTTTTGTTTTGTTTTTGAGACAGTTTCTCTGTGACTTTGGAGACTGTCCTGGAACTAGCTCCTGTAGACCAGGCTGGTCTCGAACTCACAGAGATCTGCTTGCCTCTGCCTCCCGAGTACTGGGACTAAAGGCATGCACCACCATCATTATATGTAGTTCAGGCTAACCTTCCAGTTGTGGTGCTCCTGTGTACACACACACACACACACACACACACACACACACACACACACTCATATCAGGATTACAGTACTCTCACCCCACCCACTGGACCTGGTTCTTTAAGTTGCTTAATTTCTTTTTGGGTTGTTGTTTTGACATAGTCTCATACAGCCCAGGTTGGTCATTAACTACCTTTATAGCCAGGGATGACCTTAGATTTTTGATCCTCATGCTTGTGCCCAAGTGCTGGGATCATAGGTGTGCTGGTGAGCCTGTCTCAATCTGGGTCTGAGACATTGTGCTTTTATTTTTAAAAACCAGCCCCATTCCTTTAGCATGAAGGTTTAGTGATGTTATTATAAGGGAAAAAATTTTTGTAGAATTTTCTAATGATGTGTGTGTATGTGTGTGCAGTGATGGTTTTGGGGAGAAGTTTCCTGGAGTTGAACCCTGGGCTTCTCATATATTCTACTGCTGAGTTACACCCTCATTTCTAGAAAGTCAATTCTTTAGGAGAAGCAAAGTCTTAGAGAAAATTCTAGATTTTGCTGTGTTGTGGAAAAACAAAGTTTAAAACTACATTATAATAATTTAGAATATGTGCTCATTTCATGCCACCTGCCCCCCCCCCAACACACACACACGAGACAATGTTCTTGTCAGGTGTGTAGCAGGCCTTTAATCCTAACACTTAGGAGGCAGAGGCAGGTGGATTTTTGTAATTTGAGGCCCGTCTTGTCTATGTAGTGAGTTCCAGGACAGCCAAAGCTATTGAGAGAGACACCCCCCACCCCACCCCCATCTCAAAAAACTAGGCAAGGTTCTCATGTATCCAAGGCTTGTCTCTAACTTATTGTGTAGTTAGGAAGATGCTGACTTGTCCCATGCATACTAAGTAAGCTCCACCAGCTGAGCTACAGCCCTAGCTCTTTCACTGCATCCTTATTTATTGTTTTTCTTTTCTTGTTTTTGTTTTTTAAGACAAGGTTTCTTTGTGTAGTACTGGCTGCCCTTGTAAACCAGGCTGGCCTCAGACTCAGAGATCCACCTGCCTCTCCCTGGGATTAAAGGTGTGCATCACCAACTGGCTTGAGTTATTGTTTTTAAAAATTATTTTATTTCACACGTTTGAGTGTTTTGCATATGTGTATTTGCACCATATGTGTGCCTGGTACCTGTAGAGGCCTGAAGAGGGTATCAGAGCTCCTAGAACTGGAGTTAACAGATGGTATGGGTCTCTATGTAGGTATTAGGAATCGAACCTGGGTCCTTTGAAAGCACAGCCAGTGAGCCAATGCTCTTAGCTGCTATCTCTCCAGCCCCTTTGCATTTTTAATAATAAGAATTTCCTTTATTGGTAGAATTTTTCCACTTCTGATTACAAAATTGGATCTCAAAAAATCATATAATATCAGTTATCTTGTTCTATAGAATCACTGATGTCGGCTAGTGAACAGCTTCCAAATTCAAACAAAGCAACACAAAGTTGTGTTTTGGTAGAAAGTCCTACAGGGAAAACCTAGACATTGCCTGGATACTGGGCAAATAAATTCCTTTCAAAAGATAGAATTTCCATTTTAAAAAGCCTTTTTCCCTCACAGTGAAATCACTCTCACTGGAGGTTGTTTTAGGACAAATCTGAGTAAGTTAAGTATTTCTATACCATATGTTCAGCTTTGGCAGGAGAAAGAGGTGGGAAGGGAATCTCTATGCTAGGGAATGCCAATATCACACCCCATGTGGCTATTTAGTCACAAAATAAGAAACACACAAATACTTGGCTCAAACACCTTTAATGACGAAGGGAAAGATACTAACATCTCCCCTTTCTGCTCTTACACATTTCACTGTGTTAGGGAGCTCTGGAGCTACTACTTTAGAATCATCATTAACATCAACTAACAAAATCCAGTCTTCTCAGAACTCCTGTTCCACAGGATCCTATGTTAAGAGTAAATACTACATCTCACTACAAGACAGAGGCAGGGAGGAACCACTTGAAGCTTGTCTCTCAATGTCTGGAGCTCTTAGAAGCAGACAAGAAAAATAAGACATACGCTCTGGTCCATGATCAGGCAAAATTGGGGAGGAATGGGGTTTTGAGAAGATGAGGGATGTACAAGGGGCAAGGGAATAAAATAGCACATCATCTAAAACTAAAGTATTCTAGTGCTAGGAAGTCCCCTATGACTCCTGGTGCTGCTGCAACAGCACACCACCATTAGCCCAAAGGGACATTCATGAGAATGTTCATATTCACAAGAGCTGAAGTTCCTCTCCCTTACAGCGTGCTCCATTCTTTATCAAATAGGTTCCCAGAAATCCCTGTCTTAGAAAGACGACTCAACTCATCGTGACTTCATTAACCACCCTCACAAATAAGGCTCTTGAAAGTTATGAACTTTATACTTCCTAAAATTATCTCATGGAGACCTCCCGGTAGGAAATCTGCTTGTTGGTTGAGAGGCCATGATAAATGAGAAGTTGAAGGAGTCAGTGTATCTTGATCAGTTAATACCTTTGCCTTAATAATGTGGCAAGTCAAGGGATCCACTGAAAAAGCATCCCAATCCTTCATCCTTCCCTAATTCCTAGGGTTGAGCCACCAATTACTAGAATATCTTCATTGCCAGCACCTTCTGGAGCAGGGGGAAGGAGGAAGAAGTTATAGTTTGTTACTTCTTTTCTCTGGTGTGCTTGGTAGGCCACACCTTGGATACAGGAGGCAGAGACAGGAGAGACGCTATGCTCTCCACTGCCTCTCTGGATCATGTTGTTGGAGCCCTCCTCTCAAACACAGTTCCTGGGCTTAATGGCAATGATGGTGCTAGGGCTGAAATGGCAATGCAGGTGGATCTAGCACTCCAGGGTTTGGTGGGTAAGCCACCTGACAGGAAAAACTGTACTGGTTGCAGAAAAGTAAGACACCCACCCTTCACAGGCTTCTCAAGAAGGGCCTGGCACAAGAAGTCTTGCAGGGTGACTTGGTCAAGATCACCAAGGAGTAGCACTGGGCCTTCCATAGACAGTTGCCAGCCCCTTTGGGCAAGGCTGCCATTCCATAGATGGGGGTTCTGGTGTACCATGCCAAAGGGACAGGGAGAAGAGGAGAGGGCTCCCCTTGAGCATGTGAAAGCTATAGAGAATCTGTTGTCCTTAGTTACACAGAACAAAAAGGTTGATACAAATTTCTTAAGGGGCATTCCCTTTTAAACTCAATTTTTAAGCTCAGGGACTAGAGAGAAACCACTAGAAACATCATGTTAAAACTTGAGAAAAGAGGAGGTTGAGTAAATCTTGAAGGTCCTTCAATGGAGCCTCAGTTTCTGTGCCCTGCATCATAGGGGACCAGGTACAGAAAACAGGCTCATGGGATGGCAGGGTCATCTTTTCGAGGGAATGGGGAGAGCCCTGGAGAAGTGATAGAAGAGGAACAGCCGGGGACCAAGGAAAGAGTAGCAATATTCTGAGGGCCATGGGGTGCAAAGGGTGGTACCTGGTGGTGAGCCAGCAGCATGTGCTTCTTGAGGGTAGGACGGTCAAGGAAACCCTGCCTGCAGAAAACACAAGTGAAGAGTGGCCCTTCCTTAGGGTGGGTCTTCTGATGCTCCTCCAGAGCTAGCTGGGTGGGAAAGGTCTGGCCACACACATCACAGGCCTTTCTGCTGCTGCCCTCTCCTGGCTCCTTTTTCACGGCTTCCGGTAAGCTCAGCTCCTCCACCAAAGCGGTACTGGTGCCCTCGCCTTCTTGGGTGACTGCTGCAGTCGGGCTTGGGGTCCCCTCCAGTTTGGCCTCTTCCTCCATGCCTCCGGAAACATCACTGGTTCCCTGCTCCCTTGGTTGGGTATGATCCAGGTTGTCAGGTGGAGGTGGTGGCAGAGATGCTTGTTGAGCAGCTTTCTCATTACTATCCATTTCCTTCCCGGTGGTGGGTGCTGCTCCCACCGTTCCCACTTCCTCCTCTGCCCCAGACACCTCTTCGGAGTCACCTCGTACTGATATGGCCTTCTCACCCCCGCTTTCTGAGCCTCTTCCTGCTAGGGAATCTTCATCTGTCACATCTTCCTCTTCTTCCTCATCCTCTTCTTCAGACAACTCCTCTTCCGGTGATGGCTGCTGGGATTGCTGCTGGGGGAAGCTCCCTGGTCCAGAGGCTGTAGATTGCTCAGAGCTGTTCTCCTGGGCAGTTCCCCCACCTTCAGGGAGCGTGGAACCACCGTTGGGGATTTGGCCTCCCAGGTGCATCCGAACATGTTGCTGCAGCGTGACCGCATTAGTGAACTTCTTCTGGCAGATGGGGCAGGAGTTCTGGGCCCGGGCAGCTGGACTGGTCTTGTGGCCCACAAAATGTGCACGCAAATTGCCCCTTGTGGAGAAAGCTCGACCACACACTTTACACTTGAAGGGCCGCTCACCTCCATGTTGGCCATAATGCAGGCGTAGCGCCCGGGGACAGCTCAGCACCCGGAGACAGATGACACACTGGTTAGGTCCTGAAGATGACGATGAAGGTGTAGGGGCAGAAGTGGTAGGAGCCCCTGATGCGGTAGAGGCCACTGCCACAGCTCCTTGGCGGTCAATCTTTTCTACCAGCTGTTGCAGCTTTGATGTCTCAGAAGGTGAAGCCCCCAAAGGCTCTAGCACATAGGGGAAGGGGAAACTTCCAGTTGACTTCAAGTGATTAGTAAGCAGTGCCCAACTTGGCAGTGAGGTCACCAGCTTACTTAGCTGCATTCGGGTTGCTGTGCCACTGTCTGCTACTCCAGTAATGGCGGAGCCCTCGCTCCCTGGGGGCGTATTTTCATCCGCTTTACTCTTGGGCTCCACGGCTTTCATGAGCACAAACTTGTTGAAAGTAGGGAGTCCAGGAGCCACTGCTGTACTCGTGCCAGTAGAGAGCAGTGTCAGGCTCTCTGTGGCACTGAGTGCTGTGGTGGAGGCCACTAGAGGTTTGCGTTCAACAGCTCCACCTGGTGTGGCTGCCTCCTCTTCAGCTTTCTCCGGAGGCACAGACATTCCATAAGGCAGCCCACTGCTGGTGATGACGTAGTCTAGGTGCTCAGGTACCGGATGTGGATTCATTTGCACGTGTGGGTACTTCTCACGATGCCGGTGGAAATGTACTTTGAGGTTGCCCCGGGTAGTGAAGCGGTTACCGCAGACATTGCACTTATAGGGCCTCTCACCAGTGTGGGAACGAAGGTGGATCTGCAGGGCGCTGTCACTGCCAAATACTTTGGCACAAAAACGGCATTTGTGCCTTCCACCAGGCTTTTCCAAGGAACTGATCACCTCCCCATAGCCCAGCTCACCACCTCCATTCTTTGGCTTCAGGAGCCCTGGGGAGGCAGCAGCCTCAAGGCCCCTTGCTGCCCCAAGACACTGAGCTGCCAGTAGTCCTGTGGTGCCTGGGAATGCCAGATGAGGTGAGGCAATCAGCTGATCTGTGCTGCCTGGCAGGGCAGGGGAGGGGGCAGGTGTGGGTTTGTGGCTTCGCCCAACTCCTCCAACAGAGAAGGGATGTTGCGATCCCAGTGGGTGGTAAAGGTGGAAGAAAGCCTGCTTAGGCGGCTCTGCCCCCGAGGAGGAGGAAGAGGAGGAAGGTGCCAGTGTCTTGCCAGTTTGGACAGGTTTGATGGGACTGAAGAGGGGCAGTAGGGGCTTGGTGGAGGAGGCAGTCCCTGTCCCAGGCAGCTCTGAGGGACTGGCAGGGGCACCCACCGTCTGCCCTAAGGAGCCAAGTAGCAGCACCTGGCGGCAGATCTGCTCAGTCATCTGCATCTGATGGATCTGCCGCTGCTGCAGCACTCGCAGCTCTTCCAAAATCAGTGGAATATTCAAGTGGCCACTGCCTACACCTGGAGGGGGAGGGGGAGGGGGAGGAGGAGGAGGGGGTGCAGGGGTAGATTCTGGAGGTAATGGGGTTGCTCCCAGCTTGGGACTGGCCAAGATCAGGCCCCCACCTCCTCCAGCCGCTGTACCTGTGGCAGCGACCAGGAAATGCCCGGAAGACTCCTCTACGCTCTGGCCCCCATGTAGGATCAGCGGGCCCAGAAGACCCAGAATCTGGGTGATTGCTGTGCTCTGTATCCATGACCTGGGGCCTACTGTTGCCCTCTGGCCGGGGTGCAGAGGAGGCTGATGAGTTGTTGGGGTTCTCCTGACCCCCAACTATCACCATTACGGGTGGGTCAGTACAACATGCGTTCTGGTGAGCGAGGAATTCGGTCGGGTCAGAGAATTGTGCGCAGCATTTGGCACAGACTTGGGGGTGGTCCTCCTCGTTAGCATCACCTGGGGAGAAGACAAGGAGAGAGTGTGGGTAATGCGGTTTTGTTGGGTAGCCGAAGCTCTAAAGAACGCGCAACCCAGGAACAGCGGGCTAGGGTGGGAAGATAAGCTTATAGTCAGATCCCGCATGAAGCTAGCGCTTACACCAGACCCGACCCGCGTGACTCCGGGACACCCAGCAAAAGGGGGAGGGGGACAGGGCGCGCACATTCCGAGTCTCCTCCGTCACCCCTCCCCCTCCTCTGGCCCAGGAAGAGTGGGAAAGGATGTGAGAACTGGGGCCTATGTGTAGAATCATACATTTCATCCGTCCACTTAAAGTCCTTATTCGCGAGCGTCCCCTCAGCCCCCATCGCTGCCCAGCCTGGCCCTACCGCACCTCCGCGCTCCGCAGGCTCCCCGCAGGGCCCCCCGAGTCGAGAGCTGCTCCCGGTTTCCTGCGCCATGGCCGTGGGGAAGTGGAAGGCGGGATGGGTAGGACACAATGGGTATCCGGTCTGGGAAGGCGTCGGTGGCGGCCGGCGCTGCGGCGGTCTCTGCGCCCAGCGGCCCAGACTGCGGAGGAGATCGGCGGTGGCGGGGGCAGGGAGCAGCGGCAGAGGGGGAGGGGAGCGGGAAGGCGCGGAGGAGGGGAGGAGCTGGAGCGCGAAAGCTGGTGGAGGGGAGATGGGGGAGGAGAGTTTGGGGGGGAGGAGCTGCCAGGCAGGGAGACGAAAGCTTGAGGAGGCAAAAGAGGTGAGTGAGTGTGACAAGCTGGGGGAGCTTAACCCGGGCTCTGGGACAGGTGCGGTGCGGCACCTTGGGGGCACAATGTGCCCTATCCTCTGCCAGCTCCCCACCCTAGATGTCTTTATCCTTGCTGCTCCCACCGGGTCAGCCCTAAGCGCTCAGTAGGAAACATTGCCTGCTCAATAGATTAAGGCGATAGGCTTCAGTAATTTTTCTTCGGATAAAGGATCTGCTGAGCTTGGAAAACGCGGATTCCAAAGGGTGGTCTGCCTGCCTCAGAGGTCGGAGGACAAGAGTGGGAGGAGCCACCTCAAACATCCACCCCCTTACCAGCTCGCACATCACAGACATCTCAAGTTTTGTCTACTCCCATCCTACCCTCATCCTTCTTCATAAAAGAAGTTTCGCGGGGGAGGGGGCGATTGCAAGATAAAATTCTCAAGGAGTCATTTGAGGACCCCTTCTTGAGGAACACTAAGCCCTTCCTCAAGAATAACAGCTCAACACAAGCTAATCCCCAGGCCACCGGCCCTATACCAAATGCGTAGAGTTCGTACTTAAAAAACAACAACAAAAACCCTCTCCAGCTCGGTACCCTCTACTCTACTGCCCACTCCCCCATCCCCACCCCCTTCTCACTGTCCCTAAGAAGGACAATTAAAGACCTTAGCTTGTAAAGGCCTAAGGAGATCCTCCCAGCTCCAACCTTGGGGGAGGGGAGCTCATCCTGCAACAATGGGGAAGATGCGGAATGGGCTTTCACAGTCTGCCGCTCAGAGCCCAAAGCCCCTAACAGCCCCAACCAGATCTAAATTCCCAGACAAGACTGACACCTGCTCACATCAACCGGGGCCTGCCTTCTATTCAGAGACAGTGGGGATCAGATGCCTCAGACCAGGTACTCTGCATTCCTCTTCTTCCTTGAAATTCGATCTAAAGGGTCCCTCACTTCCTAAAATCCTTTATTTTTACATGTAAAAAAGTGATCTCAGGTCTTGGATTTGAGGTTTGGGGGATGGTGATCAATAAACTCATATTGCTCTTTTGTTTATTTTATATGTTTTGAAACATGTTCTTGCTATGTAGCTCAGGCTGACTTTGAACTCAGCAACCCTGTTTCAGCTTCCCAAATGCTAAGCCTATAGTATGTGCTATTCCCCCGACCCCCCCCAACACACACACACACACACACACACACACACACACACACACACCATGACTGGCTTCTTCATTATTGTTTGTTTTTGAGACACGATCTCATGTAGCCCAGGCTAGCTGTGTCAATCAGTCTTGTGGTAAGCTCCCAACCTTCCTGTCTCTTCCTCAAATGCTGGGGGCACAGTCTTGTTCAGTGTTATTGTGTCCCCCCCCCACCTACTAGACAGTGTTTCTCTATGTAGCCCAGGCTGCCCTGGAACTCTGTAGACCAGGTTGGACTGCCTTCCAAGTGCTGGAGTTAAAGGTGTGCGCCTCCATCTCCCTTTTTATAAAGAGATAATATTTTACATATACATCTTTATTGGAGGAATATTTTGAAAGCAGAAAAATTGAAAAACATTTTTTATTTTTATCTTTTTTTTTGGTACTGGATATAAACCTAGTACCAAGTGTCCCACCACTGAGCTGTATGCCCAGTAGAAAATAATAGAAATGTAGTATTAACTAGCATATGTGGGACTTTGCCCCAAAAAGAGAATATAAATGAGTACCTTCTACAAGTTTGGAGAGCCTTAAATATTATGGAATAAAGAATTTATATTTTTAACAATAAGATAGCCTAAAATAAACATATACTAAAATAACATCTTTTTGTTTGTTGGATTTTTTACATAGGATCACTTGTAGCCTAGGCTGGCTTCAAACTCACTAGATAGCAAACGCTGGTTTGGATCCTCCTGCTTCTACTGCCAGGTACTCAGATTATCATAAATCTGAGCCACTATGTCTGAATTGCACCCCTGCACCACAGTGGGGATTTAATCCAGGACCTCATGAATGCTAGGCAAGAGTTCTACCACTAAATTATTTCTCTGCAATATCATTGACATGTCTAGTTTAGAGTCTTCTTGTCGAGCAGGCAGGGCCAGGTGATCCAATCTAATCAAAATTTTAATAAATAGTTGAGAGTAGTGACACACATTTTTAGTCCAAGCACTCAGACCAATCTCTGTTACTTCAAAGTCAACCTGTTCTTCATAGAAAACTCTAAACCAGCTAGGGTTACAGTGAGAGTCTGTCAAAAAAAAAAAAAAAAAAAAAAAAAGTAGACAACTACTGTCTTTATAAATTGAAAACAACTCACAGTGTTATGTTTTAAAACTTCAGATAATCTCAATGATTTTAGCCTTGTGAAGCAGACCACTGAAACGAATAACCTCTGTTCTCTTAGACCTGGCCTTTGCAAATGAAGAAGGAGTCTATTTCAGTTAGTCCTAGACACAGGTAAGTGCAGAATGCTTCAGTGTTACAGATAAGGAAACTGAAGCTCGAAGAGGTTAAGTGACTTTTCCAAGTTCACAGAGTAATACAGCAGAGCTGCATTCAGGACTTTGGCTCCTGTCCAGTGCTCCTCCAACACATCCTAATGCTAGAGAAAGGGGCCTGTGTGGCTCCTCCCTGCCATTTGTTCTTTGCCCTCAGGTCAGAGAGAAAAGGAATCAGATGGGGGACTTTCTACCTAGCATTTGTTAATTAGCACTGCACATTTGATATCCAGTTGCAGTTCTGTCAAGTCCTTGGACAAGAAGAAAAGAAATCCTTTTCTTCTCTTGGGAAACAGTGTCCCCTTTCTTGAGTTTTAATGAAATGTGCTTTCTGATGTGTCATTTGATCTGCGCTCTTTAAGGTAAATTTAGTCCCTGGTGAAAGGTGATGGATCAACAGCCACCTGTAAGAGGAACTATCTACTTCTCAGCGCCTTTTACACTCTCCGCCTAGCCTGAAAAAGATTCTCATGCAAACAAAACTGAAGTCACGAAAGACAAGAAAGAACATACTAAGCTGGTAATGGTATACCTAAGCAGATGAAAATGTGTAATGAGCTGTCCTAGATCACAGGCAAAGAGTGTGATGGGTGCCAACCTGCATATGCTTGTTCAAATTTACAAAGAGCTTAAATGACAAAAACAGAACAAAAACAAAAACACTGGATGTGGTGATGCACCCCTTTAATTCTAGCACTTGGGAGGCAGAGGCAGGCAGATGATGAGTTTGAGGCCATCCTGGTCTACAGAATGAGTTCCAGGATAGTCAGGGCTTCACAGAGAAACTTGGTCTGGAGAAAACAAAAATAAATAAAATGAAATTTGAAAGTAAATAAAAATAAACCCATAAGGGCTGGAGAGATGGGCTAGTGGTTAAGAGCACTGGCTGCTCTTCCAGAGGACCTGGGTTCAATTCCCAGCACCTACATGGCAACTCACAACTGTCTGTAACTCCAGTTCCATGGGGATCCAACCACTCACATAGATGCATATACAGGCAAAACACCAATGCACATAAAATAAAAATAAATAATTTATTTAAAAATAAACTCATAAAATAAAACAAATGAAACTGAATAGCTTTTCTTCTAAACCTAATGCCCAGGGGCTAGGGGTGTAGTTCATTTGGTAGGTAGGGTACTTGCCACACAGGCACAAAACCCAAGGGATTCAATCCCCAGCATAAACCAGGCACACACCTGCAATCGCAGCACTCTGGGGTGAGAGACAGTTGGATCAGAAGTTCAAGATTATCCTCACTGACCCCATCACAAGTTGATGGCTAACCTGAACTGTAAAAGACACCACATGAAAAATAAACAATAACAATAACAACAACAAAACCCGGTGCCCTGATAAACTGCTTCAGGCTTGGGAGAGAATGATTGGGAAGAACACAGTTGAGAACACATAGGGCCTGAGCAGCAGAGTGGTGCATCTATCTAGTATAAACAGTGACTCTCAGCCTTTACTATGCTCGGATTAGTTTTAAAGCTGTAGGACATACTGGTATCTTGGGCTGGGTTCATAACTCAGTAGTAGAATACATACCTAGAAGGTATGAGGTCCAGAGCTCAATCACACACACACACACACACACACACACACACACACACACACAGAGAGAGAGAGAGAGAGAGAGAGAGAGAGAGAGAGAGAGAGAGAGAGAATCTCAAGTCTAAAATAAGTCAAAATTCCTAAGGGTCATATCTAGCATCATCATCATTTTGATACAGAGTCTGAAACTTGCTATGTAGTCAGAATGGCTTCAAACTGAACTCAAACACCAGGTACCAAGTGAGAAAGATGTTTTCATTAGGACAAGAACATTGTCAAACTCCAGACAGGTCTCAATGGACATTTTTCTGAAATCAAAGAATGCAACACTGTGTGGAATTCCAACACTATTTTGGAGCTCAAAGGTATTCGTTGAGCACAATTAACAGTTAAATTCCCAGTTTTGGTTTTTTTTTCCTTTTTTTTTTTTTTTTTTTTTTTTTTGGATAGGATTTCTCCATGTAGCTGTGGCTGTTCTGAAACTCACTCTGTAGATCAGGCTGGTTTCTGCCCCTGAGTGCTAGGATTAAAGGCATGTGCCACCACCAACTGGCTCTTTCTCCTCTTCAATTTGAGAATTTCTTTCTTTCTGTCTTGAAGCAAGGGTCTCACTATATAGCCCTGGCTAGCCTGAAACTCACTATGTAGACCAGGCTACCCTGGAATTCATGGAATTC